AAAACTTTTAAAACTTTCAAAACTTTTAAAACTTTTAAAAGTTTAAAAAATTTTAAAACTTTTAAAGCTCTCTGGGCCACCAAAACTTTTAAAACTTTCAAAACTTTTAAAACTTTTAAAAGTTTTACAAGTTTTACAGCTCCCTGGGCCACCAAAACTTTTAAAAGTTCTAAAAGTTTTAAAGCTCCCTGGGCCACCAAAACTTTTAAAAACTTTTAAAACTTTACTTTTAAAGTTGTAAAAGTTTTAAAGCTCCCCGGGCCACCAAAACTTCTAAAACTTTTAAAATTTTAAAGCTCCCTGGGCCACCAAAACTTTTAAAAGTTTTAAAAGTTTTAAAATTTGCAAGTTTTAAAGCTCCCTGGGCCACCAAAACTTTTAAAACTTTTACAAGTTTTAGAAGTTTTAAAGCTCCCTGGGCCACCAAAACTTTTAAAACTTTCAAAACTTTTAAAAGTTTTAAAAGTTTTACAGCTCCCTGGGCCACCAAAACTTTTAAAACTTTTAAGAGTTTTAAAGCTCCCTGGGCTACCAAAACTTTTAAAACTTTCAAAACTTTCAATACTTTTAAAAGTTTGAAAAGTTTTAAAAGTTTTACAGCTCCCTGGGCCACCAAAACTTTTAAAACTTTTAAAGCTTTTAAAAGTTTTAAAGGTTTTGGTGGCCCAGGGAGCTCCAAAATCTTTAAAAGTTTTAAAAGTATTAGGAATACAGACCAAGATCGTCACCCAGGCCACGGGTCAAATAATACATAAAGGGTTCTCTTACATATATATATATATATGTGCCCGCGTGAGGTACCTCGAGGCTTTGCAGGATCCTTAGGTGGATGGTACGAATCCTGGCGTGAGTGGCCGGCACCATGGTTGCCTCTTGGCTATCGATTTTTTTCTCAATTAATTCCGGAATTCCGAGATGACTTGATTGCAGCTCGCAGTGCACCGTCATGCCTGAATCCTGTCAGGTTTGTTAAGGAGCTGTCTGCCAGCCACACCATTCCGAAAATGGATCATTTGCACTTTGGTGACATATGGGTAGCCACTCACTGTTCCTAATTGTTGGAGGCTCAATCGGATCCGCTCGGTCGTGCTGAGGATCTGCTTCCTCCCAGGAGCCATTGCGCTTGAGGTGTTGCACGAGCAGAAGCGAAACGCACGCAAAAGCAAGGCAGGGAGCCACCGCTGGCTGGAATCTAGGTAGAGGGTGAAGAAGCCACCGTCAGGTTGACCTGCGTCTGGCCCACAAGCTCGTCGAGACTTGCGTCCACACGCACTTTGGCGACTGCAACGTGTGCTTGGAAAGGAAGACGAGATGCATAGTTTTGCTTCGAGGTACTGGCGCACAGCTTCCGACCTTGCACCGGAGATCACCCGGTTCAATGCTTTCGGCTTGGTGGACGACCTGGGATCGATGCACAACATCCTGCGGCCAGAGACGCCGCTTTGACTTCTTATTTTGAGACATCATGCACTAGCAGGCCCACCTTGGCAGAGCCAAGCTGCCAGGATAGAAAGCCTCTTCGTCCTGTGGCGGACTCGTGCTCAGGGCAGAGGAGTTACCACAGCACACTGTCAAGCACCACCTTTTCGGCAGGACCACGAAGAAGCAAATCTACCGAAATTGGGGACAGCGAATGTTGTGTGCCTTCCACCGATCGAAAACACCGTGCACTGCTTAGTTTGAGCTGTGCCGTAGCAGGAGCTTCGGCTTGCACCGAACTGTTCATTTGCCAGTCCAGGTTTGGCTTTGCCAGCTTGCACAATGTCAACCATCCGACGAAGAAGCGCGATGACATGCCATCGTTCTTCGTAGCTGTGGCTTCGCGACAAATTAACTCGAGTTCAAGTCTCATATCTGTTGCGTGCTTCTGGGAGGGCACGTAAGCCAGATGGAGCCACCAGCTGTTGCGCAAGCCGATTGCAAGACAGTGTTAAATTGTCTGCCCCCTGCCAAGGAGACGCTAAAATACCTGTTCCTGAAACTTGGCTGCTTTTGTGCGTCCGCAGTGCCTCACGTGATGAAGTGGGGGCTTCCACTCCTTCACGCTGTTACTGTTACGTACAGCCAACAGGCTTTTCTCCGATGATGCTATCCTACCTTTGGACCAGTTTGTCTTGGGAACGGAAGCTCATCCCGTGCCACTACTCCAAACATTGCGAGACTTGGATGAATGAAAGAATCAGCTGGCCTCTCGCCTGTGTCCTGGCACAGCGAAGGAGCTTCTTGGCCGTGTGAACTACTCACACTTCCAAAGCAGCTTAGCTTCGCAAATTCCAGACTAATGTGATGTCGATTTTTCGCAGTGTCCTTCTTCCAATCTCTGCCCATATGACTGTCCGAGAGCATCTTAGCAGTTCCGGGCCTGCGGCACAAGAGAATCCGGAAGCTTTGCGCATGGTTTGACAGTTTGGTGGTATCAGGCTCCGAAGTCTTCAGCAGCAGCATAGGAACCTGCGAAGCCAGTATGCTGGGCACCGACCCATGTTCAATCCTGGCCAAGGGCCTTCGCAGAGGCACCACGTCCAGACTTCCAGCTGCAGTTCTTTGGTGCTCCATCGCCGCGGCTAATACTGCACAGTGTTGCACCGTGCAAGGTGAAAGAAGTCCCGGAAGAAAGCGAATCTGAAGCGACAGAGTCATCACGGCCTGTGCTGGAGCCAGTTTCTCTTTCGCAATTTGGAGTCGACTTCATTCCCGGATGGCGCGGACGAGGCAAGTTGACATGTGCTATCATCGCCAGGTTCCACAGAGCGCCACCACGACCGCCACGCCGTCCAGTAAGGCCTATGTAGGAGAGTGGCCGTGAACGGGAGAGGTTCTGATTGGCAGACCTTTGGCGTGGGTTAGTCGATGCCATTGGTCGTGGAGCGGCATCGTCGAACACTGCCAATTGAATTGATTCCTGCGTACATCTCTTGGAGATATTGCCAAAGTGTGGGAGAGTTGAGAAATTTCAATTGTGAACCTGTTCAGAGACATACCACAGCCTAGCTCTTCAAAACCGAACAAAGCCGCCCGTGATTGCGGTTGCCAGCCCAAGCTGTGCATCAATCTAGCAGCAACCTTGGATTCTGTTTTCACTCAGGTTGATGTTGCCGCGTCGGGGCTTGGGAGAGTCGGAATGGGATTTGTTGATTCGACAGGCACCTCGAAAGTCTCGCCTCCTCGTGGGGCCATTGCACAGGCCTGTGACCGGGATCGCCTTCAACAGCTTGCGCTCCAGATCCAGGCCTCACCGCATGGCTTGCAGTCGAACGACCCCTCGCCTCATCATCGTTGCCTGTGGAGTTGTTCAAGACGTTGTCTCTCTGAGCCCGTGCAGGGTTTCCGGGACCCGCTTGGGCTGATCTTCCCAATTTGTAATATCTCTCGACGAAAGCATGCTAATAACCTTCCTGCCGCTCTTGTTCTCAGCAAGGCAGGTCAACAAGCTATAACAAGCGCCCACAAACTGGCAGCGGATTTTGTGGTGAAGCTACACGTCCTTCTTGTCGAAGCGTTGAGTGATCCTCGCACCGGCAAGATTGGCAAGAGCTGCCCTTTCTAAGCCATCTGCTACTGTAGGGCCGGCGGAATGTCTGCTACAGATGGTCATGCGTCATGCGCAAGTGTACACGTCACCATTTTTTAGCAGAGAGAAGACGGACGGAATCTCGAAGCCACGCAGTGGGCAGACCAACGAAGAGACACAGCAGAAAGGACACGGCGAGAAGAGCAACCGAAGGACAGCAGCAAAACAATGCACGGCTGGCAGCCGTGTGACACAGGCCCTACCTTGTCTTTTGGAGAACTGGGTACAACAGCTTTTGAAACCGTGCCGGATTTGACCGGTCTAACAGTGTCTGGGAAGATTTGGAAATATGTTACCATGATGCGAAAGCTGCTTGATGCAGGAGCTGCAGCAAGAGCTGCGGGCAGAGCATGCCTCATGCTCTGATACGGGCGACCCGACTTGCTGGGTTGGTGGCTACAGCTTTCAGGCTCGTTCCATTGCCCGTCAGTCAGCAGCTGAAAGTAAGCGTGCCAGGAGTGCTGCGTTCCGCCGCCTGGAAACCCTCTGTGCTGGGATGCTGAATTTACCTATGCGCGATGCTGCAGGTAAGCAGCTGCTCCCTTTGTTTTCGCACGGATCTGCCATCATGTACCCCACATTCACCCTAATCAGGAAACCCTATTATGTACTATAGATCCCTATTATGGCAACCTACATTAAATCCTTATGCAACAGCGTCGCAGCTGCAGATGGCCTGGCCTGGTCAGGTAAGCCATGGCTGAGAAAGCCGAAGACTGTTGAATTGCTGCCACTGTGCTTGGAAAGCACGGAGGGCTTGCATAGCCGCAGACATGGTTGAGAAGGCCATGTTTTTTCCAGCAAGCCAGCCTCACGGAAAAAGTTGCGATTTTCCCAGGGCGATTGTGAGACAGGTGCGGTTGTCCTAATGTCCCACTGCTACTTGTTGATTTTCCCTGTGCTGCCAGATGCCAGACCATATCTTGCATGGCTGAATGCTGAGTGCCAGTCATGTGTGTTGTCGTAGTGTGTTATGTAGAGATGTGCAGGGTCAGATTGTCTAACCTGCCGTGTAGAGCCAACCTGACATGCCCCGAAGTATATACAGAAGCCGCACACTTCGAGGCTTTCCTGACCTGCTAATGGCTTTGGGAGCACAGCACACTGCCCTATCTGCTGGGCTGTACTGCCAACGCAGTACCGCTCCACGCCGCGATTGCTGTCTGCTTGTATGTCCTCAGAAGGGACAGTGGTTGTTGCAGCCATCACCACTTCGACCGTTATCAGCTTTTTCAGTGGCGACCTGCGCCGGAGCTGTGGTTGCCAGAAGAAGCTTGAAGAGGGTGAAGGCATATAATTTGAAAACTGATCGGCTTCCAGACAGCTTGGGCGAAACGCTTGACACCATCGAGACTGTTCTCAGGAACAAAAACCCTCAGAGCCTGGGCTGCGATCCAAGTCGCTTTGTTGTCGACTCGCTCTCTTTTCCTCTCCCGTGCCCATAGTCATATAGTATCCCAGGAGGCACGACCGAATTCGTGACCACGAGCTGGGCCCCCTCTTGCCCAAGCGCTGGTGGACACATCTGGGAGTCCAACTGTGCCTCGGCACCCGGCCTCAGGGTCTATCTATATAATATAATTTAATTTAATCCAATATGATATAAATAATTTCGGTCTGTTATGTTATGTTATGTTATATTATATGGTTGTTATATCATATGAAATTATATATGCACTTCGGAGACTTCTCCGCAGCTTTGCGCACCCAAGGAAGGCGCAAGAAGAGACCTTTGGACCACTCCCGGCAGATGCTTGGATTTCGCTTCGCCTTGATGGCTGCTGCTGCTCGGCTCCGCCTTAAAGGCGGTTGGGCTTTGGGCATCTACTAAGCTCCGGATGTGCCCAGAACACTGATGATCTTGCTTCATATGGAGCTCAGAGCCGAGTAAAAGAACTCGTGCGGAAGCCAGGAAAAGAGACAGCAACGGATCTTAACGAGGCGTTTTCGTGCGGTAGCCTCCAACAAAGTGATGAAGAGAAAAGGTGCTGCACAGAACCCGTGGCCATTATCCTGGCAAGAACTGTTCGCAGAAAGCCTGAGTCTACGGCGAAGTACCCGCGGCGCAGTCGGCGCAGTGCCGCAATGGTTACATATCCGTTCTCAGTCTCCAAAGCCGAACTACACTAATCTCTGTGACCCATTCCTGTCTGGAAGCTCCGACGGCCCAGGCTGGGGCACCGTAATGTCTCGTCTCAAGAGCTCCGGCATTCTGGAGCAGGGCTTTCGGAACGAGATTGCTGAAGCCATGATCACATCCTGCCGGGCTGAAGCTTGACTCGGAATAGCGATGGCTGATGATTCTCATAGCCCCGATCGCTTCGGAAAGGCATGTAGGACCTTGGTTTGTATATGCCTCGCACTACTGTTTGTGACTTGTTGTGCTCGTCAATTGCAGCATGACCTCAGGTCATGTGCGAGTTTGATGGCATTCTGGGCTACACACACAGCAACCTGGTCGGGGGAATTTTCGGCTTGCAGAATGTTTGCCCCCGAGTTACGAGAAGTGGTCGCACAGCAACGACAGCCAAAGAAGCTGCACGGGCAGTGCGGCACATGTGAAGCGATGAGAAAGTACCCGGCACATAGACCAGCTTGACGGCATCTCGAGTCTAGACAGAGACGGAGTAGCAAGGTAAAGTGTCGGGTCAGCGCTGTGCGAGCCACTAGTCCGGTTCCATATAGGATGCACCCGCATCTTACATTCCTGGTCCATGGTGGTCCTCAAGCTGCCTGCGGGAAATGAAAAGGATCGGACGCGACCACGAGGAGGAACATTTCTGCTCGGTCTGCCTCCGTTTAGTTACAGGCTGTCAGTGCGGTGGTTGTTGGAAGCGCCTCCTGCACGGTGAAACCCATCATGTCCCTTGCATTCCTCGTGGTGGAAACTCGGTAGCAGGAAACTCTTCGACTCGAATTCGCTTCTTTCCAGATCAGGCGCCTGTCGAGGGGGCCCAAGCGGAAGTATTGAGCAAACCTGTCGAGGTCTAGGCTTGCGGTCCTTGATCCGGTCTCTGAAAAACTCCATCGCGTGATTCTCTGAGCTGTCTGCACAAATCTTAAAAGACTCCGTGCGGAACGCTATACGTCGTTACAGCCCCAAAAACCGCCAATACCCCACACAACCCTGAAGTCTTCACAAAAGCCCCATGAAACAGCTGAAGCCCTGATTCCCTTAAGGGCGTTCAGACTTCGTCCGCAGGGCTGGCGGGTTTAGGGTTACGGCTACGGCTTTTCACTGCCTGTATGCGCTCAGGTGACGAGATGACAATTATCGTACCACCGGGGAGCCGAGTGTGCGACGGCTCCGTGTCCTGGTGGGTGAGCACTGCAGCAAGCAGCCTGTCAGGACATCCCAAAAGAAGGTAGTCTTTACCGTGCAATGCTCGCGGCAGTGGCTTTCGAGCACAATGGCCATCACTATCATAGCATCTCTGGTCAGACTCACCGCAAGGTACAGGGTCACAATCCGCATATTTAGAATTATTGGGAGGCTAGTGATAGCTTCGTAAGGCTTCACTGCTGCCAAACCTCGGTGAGTTTCGGGTGACCCCTTAGACGAGGCGTAGCCAGCGCTGCATGCAACCGCTCTTTGGCGAAGCTGGCAGCTGCACGAGGTCGGGCCGTTGCGGTTTGGAAGCTTTTGGGCCTTTCGGGGCGCCTTAAGTTGGCTGAGAAAACAGAACGGTTGAAGTTGAGGCCTGCAACTTCCAGAGATCGTCATGGCACACTTTGACTGTCGAGTGGGGGTCTTCGACTCCGCACGGCAAGCCGAAGGATTGGTGCTTTGGCGAGCTGCAGAGCTTCGGCTGCATGCAAGAGACCATTATATTCATTATATGCTCTTTCGAGCTCGAGTCAATCCGACAGAACCCAGGATTGCAATGTCAACTCTGCGTCGGATGCCATAAAGTTCTCAGACGCACCTTTTGCGGTTCGCGAGTACAACACCATCCAGAAGCTGTCGGCAACTCAGGGCTGACCCCACGAGAAAATATACCGCAGGCCTGCCTTGCACATGCGCAGGTGTTACCTTCAAGAGCGCTCTGGGCTTCCCATGCAGAGACATCAGGCCTATGGTTCTCTCATCGGACGGCGTGAGCCCCAACAAAAACTCTCGCTGCGAGCTTGGGCGGCGCTTTTCATCCTTGGACACCCGAAATAAGGATCGCCCTGGAGGGCCGAGGTGGGTAGAACTAGCGCAGCAGCGCCGAGTCCAGAATGCGGGCGAGTTGTGCGTGCTCTTCGCCGTCAGATGTGCTGGTGCTCCTCAACAGTGGGTGTCACTCCTTGCCCAAGCACATCCACAACCTCGCTCGACTTGGCACGCTGGTTCCCAGCCATTCAGGTCCGCTCCATCAGGACATGAAATTTTATAATAGAGCTGGGATCAAGGCCAGGTAGGCCTAGGGCTGGGGATCCCGTGTATGACAGCGTGCGAGAAGGTCCCAAGCTTCGCGGGCCTGCGAAGAGGCTTCAGACATTCAGAAGATGGTGGGCAAGGCTCCAAAGAGGCGACACACTTGGGTCGGCCTTGGGAAGCAAAGTGAGTCAGCAGCCATTCTTGTTGAATATCTTGCAGGCCTTGGGCTGGTTTCAGGCCACCTGAGCGCATGTCAGAGGGTGCATTGATACTGACAGAGACGAGTGAGTGCTCTTGGTGCTCGAAGCTAAGAACCTATCAGGTCCCATATCGGAGCAGGCTTCCAAGTTTGGCTTGCTGGACTTTGTGGTTTGGCCTTGCAGCACTCCGAAATGCGTTAAGGCTACGGCATAAAAAGCGGCCGCGTATTTCATCGTTCCAGCATGCATAAGGGCAGCTTTCACAGAGTCCCCTGTGGCAAGGACACTTTCTTGTGTGCTCAAGAGCTGGCCTTGGGCCATTATAAGGCGTTGAAATGATCAGGGGGTTGAGCTGCGCGGTTAGGCAGTCGGAAGAGCATGGCTGAAGAGGCTGAGGCTGAGTTTTCCTGGGGCTGTCATGCTTGCCGAGCTCGACAGAACTTACTTGGAGGATCTGTGCAAGACAAGCAGATTGGAGATGTGGGCGTCAAGTTTCTGCTCTTCGATCAGAAGGCGAAGCAACTGTATCTCTGTCGCTACCAGAGGGAGGACGCATTGTCGAATTGCCAAACCTATGTTCTCCGGAGGCTGGGGGAGTCTGACCGCTTGGAGAACCCCCGGCAACTTCTGTTACGTCCCGGACATCCCATGTTTGCATCACTGGAGGTCATCGCCGGCCGTGCCAGAGCTTGTGTTTGGAGTCTGGAGACGCAGAGCATACCCGAGACTTATTCGCTGGAGGTGACAATTTCAGATGCTGAGTCTGCAAGAGCGATCAGTTGGGTCCATGGCATCACAAGCTTGAACAACCCAGCTTTGTGCCTCCTTCTTTCCACGCAAGTGCTCTTGGTTACGGTTGAGGGCAGTGGAGAAGCAGGAGGACTCGTCGGTCAGGAGTATTTGCGACTGGAAGTCGGATTTCCGTCTTCCTGCTTCTGTTGGTCAAAGGATGCTTGCCAGCTGCTGGTGGGTGGAAGTGGTCAGATTCTTTGCTTCTCGTGGGCAAAAGACAGCAGGAGCTTGGAGCAGCCGCTATCCAAAGATTTCCTCTGCGGCGGTGACTGCGTCGAGATCCATGCATGGCATTCGGCTTTTCTCTGTCGAGTCGATCACAAGGAGAAGGCACCGGACAGCCGGGCTCAGACGGTTCCAGCCTTGATGCTGCCAGGTGGTCAAACCTGTCACGCGCCAGCTCGCCCCGTCCTGGAGCCTCTCGTCCAAGAAGTGGAAGAGGAAAAGAGCGCGACCCTAGAGACGGCTGAAGGACGAGGTGGACTCTTAGCTGGGCTGGCCGGGAGCAGTCGGAGCTACGGTGGAGGCTCGGGCCTTGCAGGCCTCGGAGGTTTGCAGGTGGTGCCCTGTCATCGTCAATTGCTGCCGCTGTGCTTCGAACGGAGAACAGAGCCTCGCCGAAAGATGCCAATATTTTGCCATAGGTTTTGGCCTTCTGTCATACCCTGCCAGAGGAACCATATACGTAGATTCCACAGATGCCTCAATCTTGTTTATCCAGGTCTCGCGAGACCCATCCCGAGACGATTGCATCATTTTATTCGAAGGATGTCACATCACAAACAACCAAGGACGGCTTACAATTACATTGTGGGAACGAGCAAAGCATAGAGGGTGAGCTCGTTGCTGTCGTCGATGGCGACAAGCTTGGCGCAGCTTGCGTCGTCGTGGGGTCCTTCTGCAATGCTGAGATCTCTGTCTTCGGTCTGTTACCACCTCACCGCTGGCTGCCCACTTCCTGCAAGACGACTAGGACGACATGTGGGAGTGAAGGCGAGTGGCGCAAGCTGTTCAGCGTGGACTTGTCGCCAACAGCCCCCATGCGCCTTTCAGGACAGTCGTGACTTCGGCCTTCTGCAGATGATTTGTGCACTTCGCAAATCCCAGATCGCTTCCTGATCTTTTGTCAGGTTTGGCGGTTTGGGGCGGTCTGGGAGAGCTGGAGGCGCACTGTCTCATCTCCGAGAGAAGTGAGCCGGGTCCTGGAGCCAGCATCGCGCGGGAGCTTTGGCACAAGCAACTCGACACCATGCTCCTCCGAAGCCCTCCTGTCAAGGGAGTATAGATTCGTATGGCCGAAAGAATCCTAGACCCTCCATCTACCCTCTATTCGACCCCAAGTACCCCTTATTTGGGACTACCCCTATTTGAGGGTACAAGGAGGGTCCTGGATTGTCTGTCAAGTTGCATGTCGAAACCGCTACAGTGCCAGTCGCCCAAGGTCTCGGAGACTGGCAGCCCCTTGGCCCGGTAAACAGGATGCTTCAGGTTGCCTCCAGCACACGTTGTGACTATTTCGACATACTGTGCATGCATCCGAGCCGATCTGCACTGGGCCCCTTGTTGGATAGAATTTTACATTTTTCTGTATAATAAAGCCATTTTTAGGTGGCCCCAACATCGGACACCTCTCAACAAGCCTTGGAAAGTCGGAAGTCTCGAGTCGGCACCGGATGCGGCCTTGCCACTGCTGGGACTGCTTCCTCGAGTAAACTGTTTTTTTTTGTTGCGAGTTTTGGGAAAGATCTGCTTCGGCCGCAGGAACCTGAATAAATCGCCGGGCCTGTAATCAATCCTGGCAACGTCTGCAGCACCAAAGGCCTGTGGCCAAACGAGGCGTCTGAGACTCCGCACAGGAAGTCCATCGTGGTCGCACTGGACCAAACCCTGCCGTAATGGAACACAACCGGCAGGATGTTAGCCTGGGTAGCGCGATAAGCGATCTATCTGGATGGAGCCAAGCTCGATGTTCAGGAATTAGACCGGGCCAGGGCCCTGTCATTTTTCCCAACAGAGCTTGATTTGATTTGCAATGTCAGCGCAAAAGCGGGCCATTCCAAGCAAAAGCAGTAAGGTGCACGATGCTTCATGTAACTGCAGGTACCTGAGCTTCCTGAGCCAAGCGCCTCCAGCTCGTATCAGTGATCTGTAACAGCCTCTTCCTTGGAAACTGCCACTGCTACCGACCAGGCAGTCCCCCATCAGACTGTCAACCCTGGTGACGGGGTGTGACACACACACACACACGCACAAGAAAAAAAAATCACAAAAGCACACGGTTGTTGTTGTCGCTTGGCACTCATGCTTTCATGCATTGGCTTTGGGGTTCTTGGCCTGATCAGCCCCGACCGCTTCCATTTTGAAAACAATGGGACTTGAAATGAACCATGGCCGTGCAGGTCAACCAGGTGGATCAAATCAGATGTCCCTCTCTGCCAATGATTGGTTGCATAGGGTACTGTAGCATCAAGGAGCGGTTTACCTCTTCAGTTGTTGGTGGGTACATAGCATGTTGTCTGCATGGGCACAAATGTACGTCTGTGCGTATACGGCGCACGAAACCACCATAAACCACCCAAAATCAGGAAATCAGCAACAGCACAGCAAGACATGGGCAAGTGCAAATCGCACTTCGGCTTCCCGTGTTTTGCTTCCTCCACGTTACTCGTTGGCGCGTGTGTTCCACGAGGAGCATTTCATCGCCAGCCAGGACGAGGAGGATCCCGGCTGCGAAGAACGGAGCTGAACAGCGGTGTAACACCTGTTTAGTGAGCACCGCAAGGACTGCCAGACAGAAGCCAAGGTTTATGGCCCGGAGCAAAGCCAGGCCCAGCCGAAAAAGACGTTGCACATATTGACACATTGTATGCACGGACATCCAAGAGATATGAAGCAAAGCTGAGTCGGGCAGGTCTTCCACAGGCTAGCAGATGATGTCGCGGGCATCCGGCAAGAGATGAAGGGCTTGCGCGAGCCGCGCCGGCTCAGTATCCGTTTGGTTGCTTCGCAGCCCAGATTCATGTATGCTTGTCTCAACGGGGCAGCTACGGTTTGCATCTGTCCGGGTTGAGGAGTGCTTGGTGGAGTTCACGCACGACTTCAAGCGCATGGTTGCAGCCGTCGAGACCTTGGCGAGAAGGTGACCGGAACGAGCAAACTGCAAGTGTATCCGAGACGAGCATGGGCCCACTGGGCCACAGCAGATCGGTGCCGTTCCAGACCTTCCGGCTGTTCGAGTCTCCGAAGCATCCCTCGCAGCCGAGTGAGCTGTTGTGGATGACGAGACTTCGGAGAGCAGGCACCAATGACAGCGCATCATGGCCGTAGCACCGACAAGACGCACAGGAAAGGGCAGAGGCAAAGGAAGGGCCACCGATTGCCTCGGAGCATCAACAGGCATCCGCTCCATCCGCGTGTGGCATGGTCTTTCCGCAGCCGTTTGGCAAAGTCGACCCTGGACAAGTGGGTTCTGTCATACACGTGAAGAGACGTGATGAGCATCATGATAGCATACTACGAACACTCGGCATGCGCAGCTGGGTTTGGTTGCGTGGCAACATGTTTCGTCGCACGAGCGGGGACGTTCGTGCGAAGTGACAGCAGGAACGGCCCGAATCGCCACGTTCGAAGTACTGTCAGTGTACCAGCAGGGAAGAAGTCTAATTACCAGTCCTGCAAGACATGAGTAGAGCAGCAAGACTCATCAAGCAACAACTCAGCTGTGCTTCTCATGGCCCAGCGGTGCCAGAACTCGACAAAGCAACCTCGAGTTTGTCACCGATGCAGAGCAAGATCTGCCAAAGGACTTCGGGTTTGGCAACAGCTCTCTTTGCAGCCTGCAGCTTGCGGATGTGCGTAGTAGCAGTAGTGCCTGGTAGCACCACGTTGGGGTTGCATGGTGTAGGCCATTGCATGTTTGGGTGTCAGCCTCATCTCTGATCGCACTGGCACTCCTGCATTGAGTCTTGGGAGGCGGCTTGACCAGCAGTGCCAACGCCAAACCTACCATTCCTGTTTCAAAGGCGAAGCCGACACCTGCTTCGCCCATTCTCACTGGGTCTGGGCGCAAGAAGCCCTGGAGCAGTCCGCGTACTCCTCGGCAATCCTTGCAGCTCCAAGAGATGGCATCAACTTGCGAAGACGCAGTGCGACGTATCGACCAACTCAGCGCAGCTACTCAGCAGTTGCTGAAAGAGTTGGGCCTTAGCAGCGTCGGAGGCGTTGGCCGGAGTCCAAGCAGGACACGCCTGAATTCCTTTGCCGACACGTGCTCAGTACCAACTCGGACTTTCATCGGAGCAGCCCAAGAGCCCACTGTACAATTGCCATGTTTGCCTACGTACTCGCAGCCAGCCACAGCACGGAATGTGGGGCAGCCTTCGCAGGTACCGGTTCGTGATCCTGAGACAGAGCGCCAGCGCATGTTCGGCCCTCCAAGCGTAGCCTTCCAGAGACTGGAGCAAAGTCTTGCTTCGTATGTGCCGGCTCCTCTCAGCGCTGGCCGTGTGACCCTTGCTTGCGGACGCTGTCTTGACCTGCGTGAGTTGTTGCCTGCTTTCGCAAGTAACATGGATGCCAACACGGCTCAGAGGGAGCGCATCGCAGAGGGGCTCGCCAGACGGCAGATCAGCCAAGAGCTCCTCAATGTGCACAAGCGTTTTGATCCGACGGCATCAGAGCTGACATGGTCTCACGGCCGACTGCGGGACTTCGTGAAGGCATGCTTCGCAGAGTTGGCAGTCGTGTCTCCCACAGACTCCCAGATCTACATGGTCTACACACACTTCGACCCAGAGCTGACGATGAAACTAACAGCACTAGAGAGCATATCTCTCGTTGAAGTCTTGCTGCGTGCATCCCTGGGCCCGGAGCCCATGCCCGATGACTCACAGCATGGCTTCGACCATCCGACGCTCTTGGCAGAGCAGTGGGTTTCACAGTACGTGCCCCTACCGGTAGATGGGACCATCAGCATTGCCTATTCGACGGGAGTAGTGATCCATTTTCCTGACTTCTCGGAGATGCTTCAAGGCTTGGCGAATCTGAACAAGCCGCAGCGGGGCAACATACTCTACCGAATAGCTAGCTGCGACCTCTTGAGGCATGCATTGCAGGTGTTCAAAAACTGCGAGGATGGAACTGGATACCTTACGTGGTCTGACCGCCGAATAGAAGGCTTTGTCACAGAGGTCTTTGTCCAGGAGGGCTTAGTGCCTCCAACTGCGCAACAGGTTGCTGCTTTTTACGACAAGTTTGCAGAGCTGCAACCTCGACTCAACGCGAGTGAGTGCTTATGCTTGGTGGATGCCCTTTTTCGTGCTCTGCTGCATGCCGGTACAGATCGCCAAAGACCTACCGATCCAGCTGGGCACCCTCACGTGGAAGCCTTCGTCGCGGAGGACAGAGATGTGTAAGTCCCGAAACAGATCTGTGGGAACAGGCATGGCATGCATTGTGCATTCGTTGTGATAGCCTTGGCTTCCGCAGAGTCTATTGTTGCTTGAGGAGCCTACTTCTGGCGACCTGGCTAGCAGCGGCTAGCATGTGAACTCCCGATGGGTACATTGACATAGGCATTGCAGGCATTGCATCTAACTTTTCAAGCTTTTTGACACTTCAAGTCAGGGGCTGCTCTGGGCTTAGGCTCTCCAGATCCAGGCCAGCTCTTCGGATGTCCACGGCCAGGGACGGAGCGCGAAAACCTTGCGACGGTCCGACCCCCGGCTTTTCGCGCAGACCAGCTCAGACTGAAGTGTGTACCTATATTTGCGATGACAGGCAGCCTCCTTCACCGGGGATGTCCGCGAACAGGCTCGGTTCTCGATGTCACGATGCCCGCTTGGAGTTTCACTCTGACCAGGAGCCCCTCACAGCGCAAGAGGAGCCTAAGCCCATCACCGCTGCCAGAGCATGGGTGGCCAGTGTGGCACATAGCTTACCTTTCTTGGAGCCTCTCAGCGGCAGCCACCTTAGCTCCGCAGAGAAGTTTGCTGAGCTGGCCTTGCAAGTGTATTTGGAGCAGCCTTCAGCAATGCAGGGGAAGCTTTTCTACGCAGGGGAGCGGCAACATGAGATGGAGTCCTTTTTGAGCGCCCTCTTTCACAGAGCCAGCCTCTCTCTCTCGGGCCCTGGTCCACATGGCCTGCATCCGCCGCCCTCCAGTCTGGTCTCGACGGTCGCTGAGCAAATCGATCTGCAGGGATCCGGTTTCCTCGATGTCACCCAGTGCCTCCTCCTCTCCGACGCCTTGATGCGCCTCGCGGAGAAGCCGAAGCCGTCGGAGAGAGAAGAGAAGCTCGGCCCCGGAATGCACCGAAAGGGAGGACCCCATCTGGGGCCCATGATGGGGCCCTTCTGCGCGGTCAGCGTGGCCGGCGCAGCGTCGCCACCGGTCCTGGATGAGCGGACCCCGCAAGGCGCAGTGAGAGTCTCACAGCTTCTTTCTCAAGTATCTTGAGCCATGGATCCTATCGAGGAATTCGCCAGCATGCGCCTCCGGTTGACCAGGAGACCTTGCAACAGGCGCTGCTTCGTTTGGGACATAAGAGATAGAGGCTTCTGGTCCATCAATGCAGGTGGCTTCCAAGGCATTTATGACCTGTGATCAAGGCGGACACGGCTATCTAACCTGGTCCGAGGCCACTTCCCATCATCTTTACGATATATTCGGATGGAGTTTGAGTCTTGAGGTGAGGAGCTTCATCAGCATGATCTTCCGTGGCCTGGGCTGCCGGGCTACATTCACGGTTCGAGCATTAAGCCAGCAGCTTCTTTCTCAGGACTGGTCAACCATCTCACCGAGAGCGACATATACAAGCTGTATGCTCGATTTGATGAGGAGTTTGCCGAGTTCTGGTTTGGCCACTCTTAGCTGACTTGCTATAGTTGGATGCGTCAGGACCACACTGCGAGGCTGGGAATGGACCAATGCCTGCGCCTAGCTCGAGCTGCTGTGCCACAAAGTTGGCCATAACACTCGCCAGGGCGCCCGAAAACACTACGAAGAGTTGATTGGACTTCTGTGCTCTGAGGTACTGAAGAGTGCTCAGAATTTCCCTGTAGGTGCGGTGCTTGTGCCTGCATGCATTGGCTCGAATCTCCAGATTTAAATCCGGACACTGGTCCTCGACCGTCTACACCAAGCACCTCTGCTTCAATAAACGTTTCTGTGAGCGCGGTGCAAGAACCACCTTCAAAAGCTTGCAAGGGGTAGGGTAGGACAGTTACGACAGTAGCCAACACCTCGTGGCAAGAACCCAACTCCTGATAGCCAGACCCATCTTTGTCATGCCTGAGGTGTAAGCGGCTCGCCTCGGCATGTACGTCCCATCCACGGGTCCAATCATGCCAGGGCCCGACTGTGGCAGAGAGCTAAGCGAAGAGGCTCTGCCTGTTGAGGTCCAGCCCGTATATGACGCAAGAGCCGGGAGCAATTCCGAGCTTTGCACAACCCGTGATGTCACCTGGCTGTGACCTGATGCTGTGGGCATTTTGCAGAGCAGCCTTTGAGTCTTCTCAGGTCGCAGCCGTATTTTCTACAAGAGCCGACCAGCAAAACAGCTGTGCCAGCAGCATTTCAAGATCCGGGGGTTCCGGTGCCTCTGCCAACAGCACTTGCAGCTGCACCACAAGGATGCATCAGTGACGCATTCTTGTTGACGCGTGAAGACATTTGAAGACTATCTTCCGTTAGGAGCACCGCCTGTGAATGGTGCCGGACTCATCCGATCTGACTGAACTAAGTTTCGCGAGTTCTAGGCATATTAGCTGTTAACCGACGTTCGTTACATGTCGCTGTCTCTCTATCATTCATGATGGGTAGTTGTTGCATGCACGCTCTCCTCCCAGGCATTCGGACGGCCAGGCCGAGCAACTTTGCAACACCGGCAGTTATCGACGACGGAACTGCAGCCGTCTTCTTGCAGCAGACCCTCGTCTGCTAAGTGTCTGGTACATGTGCTCGGTCGTTTTCTTTCTGCATGCCCTGTGCCAAGACGCGATCAGTCTTGATAGCGACTAGGTATTTCAGCCTCGTCAAGTCGCACTGCGAGACGCGCTTGGTTAACAAGAAATCGGCCATGAGAGAATTGAACGGCACCTCGGAAGTCGATGATTATCATAGTAACCACTCAGAACCAAGCACATTACTAGTACAGAGGTCATGAAGATTCAAGATAGCACAGGCCACCGGCCTCATGAACTGGACTTGAGGCAAGCTGTTTCCGCTCATCGTCGAGGCTTTCCATCGTCACGACAGGGATGGTGACGGAGTACTGAACAAGCAGGAACCATGGCCATAGATAGAGCTTAAAACCTCGTGTGCTCGTGCCTGATCCGTGCCAAGGAGGCGCACATTTTGTTCACCCTCTTCGTATCCGACAGGCTGATGGCTTCGTTTTTCATGGCAGTTACCGCATTGTTTTGTGAAGTTCCCTTGCCAGGCTGGGCTTCAGTGATGCGGCGCGCGCGATGATCTATCAGCAGACTGGGGACTCCGAGAAGGCCCCCATAGCGAGCTGCAAAAGCAGACGAAGTTCGACTGTCGGCCCCGACAGGCAGCTGACCGGGTGGCGCAGTACAGCAAATTCAAGGCCAGGAATGACAGAGAGCTTTCATGCACCAACACGGGTTTGACTGTCTACTTGATTGAGTGCCCGTCTCGCCGGTCTGTTCTGATGGCCCTGACCCTGGAGGAAATGTACAACAAACGAGCGTTCCAGGCTTTTGTTTCAGACGAGGATGGCTACATGCAGCTCCACGAAGTACCTTGGTTTTCTGGGCGTGTAGCAACTCGAAGCCTTAAATCATTCTTGAGCTGCATACCATGCGGCATGTTCTCCTGCAGGTCCTTACCACGCTGTCTTTGCACACCGACAAGCACATGGCTTTGTTCAAGGCCTTTTTTGTGGTGAAGCGTTCAAGCGTCAGAGTGAAGACGAGCGAAATGGTGAGGCATTCGGACTTCAGGAAGCGGACGAAGAAACGGAAGAATCCTACTATGCGGATCACTACGCGTGATGCCAGAAGGCCCTGGCCCTTGCCCCGCTGGCTTTTCGCTGTTGGATCGATTTGGCTGTGGCGAGTGATTTGATTTCAGAGCAGGACATGTTCTTTTGGGCCGATATCTGTTTTTCCAGTGTGCAGGCCACTTGGATTGAGTCTTCCAGTGCTCCACTATTCGACTAACCTTGAGGCAGAGACACGCTCTGAACCCAGTGGCCCCAAGGCGTCGCGAACGCATCCGGTTGGATTCATGCTTCCGCCCGACGGCGGTCCAGCCGCTGACTAGTGCTGCTCTGTCAACGCCGACTGCTCGTGAAGCACGGGGAAGGTGAGCCAGCGTTGTGGGCGCTGTCACATGTATTTAGAATTCTTCGCAGCGCCTGCCTGCTGTCTCCGTGCTTCACGAAGCATTCGCCAAGCGAAGCTTGGCACCAGCTTTGTGCCCCCGTCTGTGGTGCCGAACTCTTCGGACAGGCACACAAAGGCAACATACAAGTGACCCACGCAAATAAGGATTTAAAGGATTTTGAAACAGACTCGGTGGCAATGCTCTCACATTGATTGTGCCTATGTTTACTATGCTTACACGACGCTTGTCAGGCAAAAAGATTGCAAGGACCCGAGCACCATGTGGTCACTGCTCACATCAAGCCACTGACACGTTTTGAGTGCGTATTCAGCTGGCAAACCGCAAGCACTGGGCCAAAGTACTCCGAGCTCTGGGCCATGGCGGTCTCCACATATCAAAGCTCATACTGTGGCCGAGGGCTTGCAATGCAACGGCAAGACCTGACTGAGGAGTCGTATCTTCTCTAGCCGCTCAGGTATAGACCAATGGACCGACATTTTCTATCAACCAGAGCCAGCGACGGCGTCAGCAAGCAAGGCCAAGCAGCAGAAACATGGGAAGTGGTGGCATCATTCCATCACACATCTGGAGTCAAGCAGCCTGTGTGCAGGATGCCGGGACTGCAGCGGCTGCTCTGTAGCGACCTCAAGAATTCAGGCGAGCGCAGCGACGCAAACTCTCTCGTGCAGGTCGGATCTGCCCGCTGGCTTGAGAAGACGCGCCGAGTTCTACCGCAGAGAGTTGCTGCCACCTCAGCTGCTTGCCTGGTGCACGCCACTGTCGAGCTTGCTGCCGGCACGTTGCTGGCCCAGGATTCTTCCTGACAAGTGTGACGCCCAGACACCGAAGACAGCAGATCTTTGCTTGCAGATGCTCTTGGCGCAGGAGCGCCCGGAGGCGTTCATTCAGCTCACCTGCGAAGGACTCAGTTTGCAGGCTGCCTCGCGCTCTCGGCCATGACCGTTCAAGTGTGCTGCCAGCTGTTAGGTGATGAGCAGGCCAAAACGACTAACGCGACCCATGTGCAATTCGACTCGTGCTCAGCATTCATCGAGAAGAGGACCAGTTGGCGTGTTCGCAGATGAGCCTTGCATATGTAACGGCAGCTGCCTGTTCCAGTGCATGTGTATGGACGTGAAGTGTTGCAAGACATGAGGTACAACCCTTTCACTTCACGGGAGTTGCCACGGGGCAAGTTCTGCGGATTCCCGACGCCGATTACAAGGATTGTGCAGTCTGAGGCTGCTGGCGATAAGATTGTTTGCGAGCTTTCTACGTTCATTGATGCATATTGCTACGAACCGCGAGCCGATGGTCTCCGACACCCAAGCAAGAGCGAGTTTGAGCGGAAGCATTGGTGATTGTGACAGCGCGCAGACGAGCAAAGATGTGAAATTGAAGTCTAGTACTTCGCAGGCTTAGTCCTTGTCGAGTCCTGCTCACTCCATTGATCCGCTGCGTTCTTCACAGCAGTGACCCGTGAGAACCAAGCAATGTGCCAGCATTTCCCTGGTTCTCCTCCTTTGCCCTCAACCAAAACATGTAGTTATTGACACAGCACCATGGCGGTCCCTGTTCTTGCAGTTTTGCAAGAAATGAAGTCAGCCCAGCACATGCAGAAACTGTAACAGTGACACTAAATGGTTCAGGTGGAAAGGCTTGTGTTTTCAGCTGTTGTGCGAACCATGTTGCCTATCCAGACATGTTTCTCCTTGATGTGGAGATTTCCGGATTTCCGGCCAAGGTTGTTCCCAGGTTTTTTTCTGTAAACTGTCGTGATGCAGCACGAGAGCCAACAAAGCCATGGATCAGTTCATGCACCCTGGACCTCTCGAACCAAAGGCGTGAAGCCCGAGTAAATGGAAACCGGAACGTTGAAAAGCAATTGAGAAGGAGGTCAAAAAATCAGCCAAAAAGGATGGCTCCAAATGGCTCGAGGATTTGGCATCTTCCGGGGATTGGAATTCGATTAAAGCGCTCCGCAGGGGTCGGATCACCAAGCAGCGGCGATTGAAAAGCACGGATGGAGAGTTTGTCTCATCTGAGCTGCGGGCAGAGACTCCTGGCTGAGCGCCTGGAAAAAGTTCAACGGAGGAACAGCGGGCGAATTTGGGTGAAGTTTTCACGTCAGCAGGTCGGATTTCAATCACGCCGAGCTCAGGAAAGCTATTTCAAAAATGGCCAGCGGTGAGGCAACAAAACCAGATGATATTTCCGCGGGGTTTTCATGGTTTTGGCCAGGGAACCCAGCTCATTCTTACAATGGCTGTTGGATCCTTGCAAACCATTGCTGGCCAGCAGCCGGCGTTCCCGATGATGGTCCACAGCTTCAGATGCAATCTTATTCAACAACGGAGACCCAGCCGATGCGAACCACTACCGACCAATTTGTTTACAGAGTATTGCGTACAAACTGTCTGCCTCCCTGCTCAAACTTCTTGATGCAGATGCACAGAGGAGACTTCAGAAATCACAATTTGGATTTAGAATTTATCAGCGTACTGAAGATGCCATTTTCGTTGCCCTTCGACACGTCGAACAAGAATGTGCCCGGCGAGATGGTTAGATCCGCCTGTTGGCCCTCGATTGGAAGCAAGCTTTTGACAGCATCCGTTTCGGTATTCCTGATTTTTGTCGGCAAATGATTCACAACATGATGCGTCATCGCAGGTTTTTTTTTTATGTCGAAGGTCAAGGCAAACCCAACTTAAAATAGCAGAATTGTGGCATTTCACAAGGATGCACTTTAGCCCGCTTCTGTTTATCATCGTCATGACGGTCTTCATGCACGACGCGGTTTCAAATCTAAGTGGTGCCGCACTGGTTGCATACAGTCGTGCGGATTTGGCCGATCTTGTTTATGCTGATGATGCACTGTTGCTGGGCACATCTGACCTTCATTTGCAGGACTATCTGTCTCAGATCGCAGATGCAGGGCTGCTGAATGGCATGGAGCTTCACTGGGGTAAGCTGCATTTGCTACAAGTACAATGTCAAGCAATCATTCGGACTCCGACGCGTGAGCATATTTCGCCAAAACTGGGCATAGATTGTTTGGGATCTGTTCTCAGTCATGATGGGCTACCAGGGCATGAACTTGGTTGGAGAATCGGGATGGCAAAGCGGAATTTTCTTGAGCTCCAAAAAGTTTGGAAACATTCTTCATTTCCGCGGGATCAGAAGGTTCAAATCTTTAAAGCTCTTTTTGAATCGAAACTGATGTATTCCCTCAGCGGCTTGTGTTTATCTTCCGCGGATCGTCGGCATCTTGATGGCTTTCAAAAAAACGTTGCTTACGAAGTATTTTCGGCATCCCGCCTGCTTTCATCTCGAGAGTGCCCAATGCGGAAGTTCTGCGCAGAGCTTGTTGCCCCGCTGCTACAGACATGCTATTGAATCGACAACTCCTCCTTTTCGGTGAAGTGCTGCGATCTGCATACAACCGAATGCAACCCTCCTGCACAGCTCCGCATGCAGTCGTGGAACGCTGCAGCCTGCCACAAGTATGTATGTGAGAAGAGTAAGAGTGGGGAGGCCGCGACATGAAATGGGTCACATTTGTTAGGGCAAAGCATGTCAATTCCTGAAAAGCCACAAACAGATAACCAGACTTGTACAGAATCCTCGTGTCTGGAATCGGGGGGTGTGCCAGTTTACTTATCCATGCGCCGCCTGGCGTATGACCGACTGACTGACTGACTGCCGTGATGCGGCAGCTGTGCTCACCTTCTTTGCTATGGCCTCGGTTGACTTTGGCATAGCCTATCGACTGCTTTCTGCGTTGTGGCTAATGGGGTGATTGTGTCCACATTGAAACTGGCAGAGAGACGGTCATTCTGCTGACGATGCTTCGCGTTCATGCTTTTGCCGTTTCTGAGAGGATGTTGCCAAAGCCTCCCGACCCTTTGGGCTTCACGTCCCACGGACTCGTCCCTGTCAGGGACTTGGATGCCGACATGGCAATGAGCTAACGTGGCTTCCTCGCACACGCAGGAGGTCGCACATCGAGAGTTTCGCGGCCGAGCAAGCAGCTTCCCGTCTGGAGGGTACCCGGCCAGTGGCACAGCTTTTCGTCTGACAAGTTCCGCTGTGCTTCTGCGATCTTCTGACTCGAGGTCATGGGTGCACCCGTAATCCACCAAATCTCACAGACAGAGGAGACTGCTCCCAGCGAATGAGATGCCTCCGCGAGATCTTGATACTCGCGCCAGGACGCACCAGCACCTTGGCGCCGAAGCCTCAGAGTGGCCGGGAATTCTTCGCGTTGCCTTTCACATCAACTGGCCTTGCACACCGTGAAATCGGAGCAGTTCTGTCCGCACAGTGCTCAATCAGACTTCTGCCCAGCACTGTTCAAAGCTGTCAGCCCTCGTACTTTTGGTGCCATTGTCTCTTCATGGTTGTTTCTGTTGAATCTCCGAAGCTTTTTTCTAGCAAGGCGAGTACGCAGAGCTTGAGCGAAACCCTCGTGGCCGTGCCAGCCGAAGGTTTCGTGCAGTTTGGGGCATGAAGTTGGACGATCCAAGTTGAATGTGGCAGTCCACAGATCCATGCGAGCAGAGAGGGAACGTTTGTGCCCGTGGTGTGCCATTGCTCTTCATGTTCTTATTCCTGTCAGGGGCATCGTGTGAGATCGCAGCAGGCGGCAACGATGATGCACCTGTGCAAGCTGCTAATGACCGCCAAGAAAAGGCACACTCTAGCCGACTCTGGCCCATGCTCGTTGTAGGGAACTTGGGCCACCAATACCGCCAACTGCAGATCATCAGAAAGCGAGAGCATTGTAGAACGCGATCTAATGCTCTTATCACAGACCCCAGCAAAGTTAAAACTGGGGCCTGTCCTTTTACCCGTGTACTGCACATGCATTCTGAACGACAAATCAGGTCATTTGTACGGCTGGGGTTGGGCATGAAACTAGTAGGCACGTCTGTCTGTTGTTGCTCACATATGAAAATCGGTAGGTAAAGTGTAAAGATCGGAACAAGCTCGTAACCCCGATGCAAAACTGCTATCGCCAGCTGGTTTGTTTCCTCTGGCAGCTTGGCGCCCGGCCCTGGCATGACTCTGTGATCTAACGGATGGGCACTTGGATCAAGGAGAGAAGTAGAACGCAGCCTAGAGTCCACCGCCGAACTGCCCTATGCCGGGACCTCGAAATGAAACCACCTCGATCCTACAGCCGGGTGGGATTCCAGGATCCTCGGCCGTGGCCCGGCCATTGCGTGAAAGGCTCGGGGAGCCGCCGAGCGCGCTCCCTCAGCGCTCCCTCCGGTCTCGGTGTTTTTTCTGGCAGGGCGGGCGCTCGCCATGGGCTTCTTCAAGCTAGGACGGCCGGGCGCTTGGAAGTGCAAAACATAATCAACGGCGAGCTGAAGCCAACCAAGGCTGGAGAAGGGAAAGTCTCAGGATGGCATCGGCGGTCGCCAGGACAGCGAGCTTAGATTCCACATGGCTTCCGCTTGCCTCGGCTCCGGCCATATCAGGGAGATCGAAAAGAAGGCGAACCTCTCCTGGAGTCCTCGCAGGCTTCCATGGTCACTCACTTGTGTGTCCCTGCAAGTTGTCGCAAGTGCGTTGTTGATAGGCAGAAGGCTCCGAGCGCAAGAAGAGGGAGCCAGAAGGCAGCCGAGCAACAAAGCAAGTTGTAGATAATTTTACACAAAAGTGCCGGCGTCTGCAGATGGATACATGCTCAAACGTCCCACAGCCTCACACACTTAGAAAAGTGGGTTCTGCACTCACGGACAGATGTACCTGAAGT